CGGCAGCAGTACGAAGATGCCAGTAGGCTCGTTGGAAAAGTGAGACATTCAGCTTTTATACGAATGATCGATGATGTAATTATCTTAAGGGGTTGTCGAGAAATTGACAAAAAACTGGAAAAAAAACGTCGTTTCTCTGTTAAGTGACGAACATTACATAACTTTTGTTATATAAAAAGTTGCGCAACGCTTGCGTGCATCTGATTATGCAATAAAATCATAAAAAAGTTTATTACTTTTCGAGTTATTAACGAAAAACTAAAAACATCCATTTTTTGGCAAATTCAATTCACTTTTTTCCAATTTTCTACAGCTCATATCAGGTGACTCGATGACAGCACGAAGATGTATGTAGGCTTGTTGGAAAGGCAAAATATTCAGCTTTTATACGAGTGGTCGATGATGTAACTTAAGGATTTGTCGAGAAAATCACCAAAAACTGTAAAAACTGAATAAAAAACGAGAAAAAATGTTCTTCAGCTTATAACAGGCGACTCGATGAAACTAGAAAGATGTATGTAGGTGCGTTGGAAAGGTGAGATATTCAGCTTTCATACGATGATGTAATTATCTGACACCTCATAGCAGGCGAGTCGATTACAGCACAAAGATGTGTGTTGGCGCGTTGGAAAGGTGAGATATTTTGTTCTAAACCAAGGAACAGACTTCCCCAGAGTAGATTCTAGCTCGGCTTTGATATTGGTTGGACTTAGATCTTTTAAATGAAATTGCAGCTTTAAACTTAATTAGAGGAAATGGGAATATTATATAAGATACAAAAATTGGAAAAGCAAACGCTCATGGATATTTTTCACAATACAGCAAGTATTTTATTGTTTACATTTATAATATACGTTTAGAGAACAATGTTTTATTTTGTTTATAGTAGGAACATATAATACAACGTTATCAATTTTTATAGAATATTCAATAATACACAGGACAAATTTGCGGTAAATCCTTTTGTTCATGCCTGAAATTTATAAGCGACAAGTTCGTCTTCGTTTTCTAAATTTGAACACATTTCATATATATTGTTTATGTATATTTTTTAACGAATTTCAGAATACCTAAATATTTACAAAACGCTACATTAGTTGGAGTGAATTGCGAGGATGTGCATTAAATAAAATATATTGATCATAGTTTAAATGAAAGAAGAAAATTCTGACATTTCTATCTTAGATTTAATTGTCATTAACCCTAAGGTAGAAAAAACAGATTTTGAAAGATTGAAGTTGAGTAAACCTTGCAGAAGAAAAAGTTTCACAATTCGATGTTTATGAAGGGGGGAAGTTTGCTCAACTTTATATGAAAGACAGTTTTGTAAGTGGTGATTTATTGATAGTTATTGCGTTCTGAATTATGATTTGTTACAAACATTTTCCTTATTGACCAAAGCTATACATTCTGCCAGTTGATTAGTTCTGCACCAAATTATGTACAAGTTAGAAACGGAAAAAAAATAGAAACAATAGATTTCGTCCTGTTCAATAACAGTAATGTAGGGAAGGTTAACAAATGCAGGGGGAATGTTAAATAAATAATATTAAAAGTAAATGAAGGTACATGGCTAAAATCATTTATTTAAAAAATATGACACTTTTAGTAAATAAAAACATTTTACATTGACGATAAAAAATATTTAACAAAAAAATAAACAAAAAATATATATATGTATATACACATGCCTTAAATTTTAACAATGAATATTTTCTCTTATATATAAAATATATGGTATACATAGATAAATATGTTTAGAATTATATTTATATATGTATGCTTATACAATTCATTTTTTTCGCTACATTTCGTTTGTTTGCAGAGAGCCCCTCGACCATAGAAAAGAAGGAATTGTACTACACAGTTATTATATCAATAATATTTTTATATATATTTTATATTATCATTACTATTTTTTATTATTATTTTCCTTTAAAAATCACCTAATAAAATTACCTAAAAAGCAAAATCGTTGTGACATTATGTAAATTTTATGTGGCATTTTGATAAAACGGATGGATGATTTAGTTGACTAGAAGAAATCAACAGTGTTTTTGTTACTTGTTGGCACGGATCAATGTTCCATCCCAAAGTTCCCTGTCGTCAGGCTCCATGCAATTACTATGTGAATATGAACAAGTACCATATCACAATATTTGTTATTATTTTGTCTCTTTAAATCCAATTTATTTTAAACGTAATCCCAACAAAAGCAACGGGTAGGCTTTTTTCTAAATGTATCACGAATTTAGTGATAGGCCTAAGTAAAAAAATTATAGATGATTGGAATGTCGAAAGTCCGAAATCGAAGTGATTCGCATCACCTATGTTTAGGGAAGGGATGGTACAGTACAGTACACAAAAGCTAGCCTGATTCAAGTACAACATTGATTACACGGTACTTGTTTGCTTATTTCATTCACTTATATATTTTTTTTGTCCTCGTTATTTACTAACATTAAATATTGCTTGTAACAATGCAACAAATGAATTACATCGATTGAAACGTTCGCGTTGAGATTAGCATCGCTCGAACATTGATTGAATATACTTACAATTAGTTCTCGTAATTTGAAAATTGAAACAGGGATAATAAAAAAAAATATTTATATAAACATTTCAACAAAATTAACGCCACCGGGCAAACACCAATAATATTCAATCATGTATCATTGACCGCAAGATTAATTAATTTGTCAGTAATTTTAAAAAAGTAAGTTCATCGTGAAAAGCAGGTACACCCATTTAAGCGCGCTGAAAAGTGTACCGCAATTCTCAGAAATAAATGGATAAGTACATCACTATACACATATTATGTATATATACATATCAAAAAAGCATTCACAGATCAGAATTTTAAGTCATACTTTCTTCTTCTTTTTACTTATATATGAGGCGAGTATTATTAACAAATCAGCTTTCTTCAAAATCTTAGGACGATGATACAACACTACTGTGCCGCAAAATTTGAAAAATTAAAAATGAATGAAGTCTTTGCAAGGAATGTGTTTTGTTGCGAAGCGCGACCACCTCGACTTACATCTAATTAAGTATGCCAAGACTAGACTAAGAGAAACAAAGATTAATCCCAAGTTGACCTCTATAATAAATACATTGTTTCTTTAAGAATATATCATTATTAACGAGAAATGCTTGCTTCGGTATCCGGATCGTCCAACGAGTTTCTTAAAAGCAACTTAAGTAAATTTCGCGAAAACACACAATCACAAATCACAAGTTGCACGCCTTTAACCTCAGCTTCAGAGTAAATCGATAAATCAATAATAACCTAAGATTTTTTTTGAATATATATTCATGATATATATATATATATATACTCTATTATTTATAAAAATAAACTTTCATCATAAATAACTTATTATTTTTTTGCCTGAATTTTTATATTTTGATTGGCTTCCGAAAACAAATTAATTTACGACATCACATTCATTCGGAACTCACTAAGTTCTTGATATTGATTATTATTATATAATATTTTTTTCTTGTAAACATTGTATTGTAATCCCAATAATAACGTAAAACATACAAAAATAAAGCTAAGTTATAATAATATATCGATGGGAATTAGAGAGATAGAGAGTGTGGAAAATGCACGAAACGTCATTTATATCTTCTGTTTTTAGTTACTATAAACCCCTTGATCACAGCAACTTTGCGACTTATCACAAATTTATACCGAAACCACAAACTTGACGAAGAGACCAATTGATGTGTGTCAACCAACATTCGGCAGATATTCGACGAAAATTGCGTATGCAGGAAGACCAACCACCAAGAGGGGTGGCTGGACACGGTTCCGCTACCTGTGTAAATTGGTATTTAGGCCTTACGCAGTCGAAGGAAAAAGCGAAATCATCAATTTTCTTCATCGATATTTTCATGTTGGTTTTCTGGAATGTATCTTTCGCAATTCCTTAGATGTACAGTAATAGATTGATACGTTATATTTACAGCAAACGCCCTCTAATATAAGTGGCCAAGGGGTCGAAAAAGATTTCTGGTACAATACGCCAATAGAAAATTCAGAGACAGAGTGGAAAATAACATCGACGGCGATTAGAAAGATTCGAAAATTTAGTGCAGCTTTTAACATTTTTTTTTGTGATTTTTTTTCTTTATAAAATATATATGGGTAGTATTTAATTAGAGAAGGTAAAATATTTAAGAGGGAAAGATAGATAGAGAATTGGATATATGTAGAGAGTGGAAATATATAATATTTATATGTAAGTAGAGAAGAGTATTCCGTGAGATTACTTATCTTGAGAGCCATTGAGATTGCCACAGGGCTCTCCGGTAGACATGCTACGCTGGGCGATAGGACTGCGCCCTCCGCTGCTTCCGCTACTAAGGGCCATTCGTTGCATTTGACGAATAACAGTTGTTGCGTGGTAAGCTTGCTAAACAAATAAAATGTTTGTTTATTATTAGAAAAGATTACACAACTAATTAGAATGTAAATAAGATATTTTTATCAAGTACTTCAGTTTCATTATTCCAGATTTATTTACTGATCACTTGTTAAGGCATAAATTGATAATCAATATAGCTTTACTTGTATGTAAAGAATAAATTATGTTATAGTTAATAATTTTTGTATTTAATAAAAAAATAATTATAGAAACATAATTTATATCATTTTGTAATTATAAATCCATTATTCAGTGAGAATCCAATTGGATCTATCCAAGCTTATGTAAAGTTATTAAGTTGCATTTTTTAAAGAAGTTTAAACCACATTTCTTTAGAAAATATTTTAAATATATTATCAGATTTGAAAATGATTCCAATTTTGCAGACTTTGCTAGAGAAACTTTATAATTTTAGTCTTATCAATTGTGATCACACTAGTATTGACTACTAAGTGAGTGGGTTACTTTACCAAAATTGGAGTGATCACTGAAACTTGTGACATAAATACCATTTGTTGCTATGCAATTAAATTTTATTTCATATTTTATTGACGGTTATTTACTGCTTTGTCTTTAAACATAAAATGTTGATTTTCAAAAATATATGTTCTTATTTTATTTCTAAATTGATCTAAATGAATTTCCAAAGTTTTGTATTTGGCGAATGCATAAATATATAAAAAATCTAACTTGGTACTTGCCTTCCAGCGGGATTTGGCGAAATTCTTCTTGAGTTGTTCGGAAACGGTTCCATGGATGTTCTTGTTGCTGGCTGTGTTGCCAGAGATCCACGGATGACCAAGGGCCTGTCTACAGGTGAACCTCTTCTCGACATTGACGCACATCAATTGTCTAATAAAGTCTTTGGCAGAGTCGCTAATCTCATCCCAGTAGGGAGAATCGAATTCGAATTCGCCTACAAACGCAGAACAGTGAGAATCGCTACACATTAGCTTCCAATTAACGTTTACCTTTTAAGATTTGGGCAAACAAGTTCGCGTCGTTTTCGTCGTAGAAAGGAGGATATCCGCAGAGCAGAATATAGGAGATGACACCTATGCTCCAAACATCAACGGCCTTCCCGTACGGCTTTTGCGCTAGCACCTCGGGAGCCACGTAACCGGGAGTACCACAAGCCGTTGCCATTATCCCCGACTCTACCATCTTTGATAAACCAAAATCACTGATCATGATCTTGCTCTCATCATCTGGGCTGTAATACAGCAAGTTCTCCGGCTTCAAATCACGATGAACAACACCTTGGACGTGCATGTAATCCACAGCTTCGAGGACTTGTCTAATTAGATCTGCAGCATCCTTCTCAGTGTAAGACCCTTTCTCTACAATTCTATCAAACAACTCTCCACCCATAACTCTAAAAAAATATTGGTGGTATTAAATGAAATAATGCTTTTAAGTTTTCTGGTACTCACAATTCCATGATTAAATACACTTTTGATTTGTCTTCAAATGTTTCAAGTAATTGCACTATGTTTGGATGTTTCAATCTGAAAATATTGAATTTACTTTTTCAGTTTGAAACTCAATTAATAAATGTACCTGCGGAGCACTTTGATTTCATTCTCCAGAGAATCCTCTTTTCCCTTTAATGCTTTCTTGTCTATGATCTTGACAGCATACATCTGCCTTGGCCTATCCTTGCTCTCTGCTAGTCGGACAACTGAGAAAGCCCCACTGAAATGGAAGATATGGTAGTGTTTTGGTTTGGGTGATGAATGAAAAAACTTACGTTCCCAGCAGCTCTTTCAAGTAGTACTTGTCCTCAACGGAGGGCATCTTATCTGCGTCCTTGCTATCTTTCTTGGACTTCTTCTCAGGGTCCTTCTTACCAAACAAAGGCATCTTGTTACCGACGGAGGTCCTAGGACTGAATGGTAAGGTTAAAATCACTGTCAATACAGGTCTAGCGTGAAAAGGGCGAAGAACATTAATGCATTAATGAGAGTCCCAACGAAACGGGAATCCTCTCCCGGCCCGACGACAACGACGCGAACTGTTCGACTACTTAATACATGTAAATATTGAGAATTTTTATCACGAAACTAAGAGAGGATGTTTTCGCAGGGTTGCCAGTTTGGAAGGACAAGGAGCATAACCAGCAGCGAAAAAAACCAACAGAAGGAACATAAAAAAATAGAGAGAACTGGAGGAATGTAGAGACAGAGAAGCGGATTTCGTTACTGATTTGCGCAATGCGATTGGACGCGCCACTTACAGGTGTCACCACTTAATAATTTACAGGATCACAACAGGACGATGTTTGAATGGGAAGACTACGATTAGAACAAAGAGGACGGATGGCGTCGGACCCGAAGAAACAGCGAACTTTCTCCGGCCACGGACGAGCAAAGTGTGCGTGAGAGCGTGCCGCACGCACACTTTCAGCCCCCTTCAGACTGGAAAGTAATTTCCCTTTTGCAGTGATTCCAGTGGTATGCACACTATGTAATGTGTCCATCCATCTTTGGTTCGATTTCCTCCACCATTTTCTTCCTGCACCAAAATGCATGTGCATCTCTGCGCCTCCTTCCATATTAGGCTGTGTTTTTGCTAAACAGTAGTAACATTTTTGTGCTACTCGATGCGGCAACGTCGCCGCCACACGTCACTTCTTACGAAATCACTGAATTATGTCACGGGCGGCTGTGGCGGCAAAATTTGAATGCGTCCGCTCTTCCGGTGCGCGTTTGCTAATCAACGCGACGACACCAATTAATCAATTTCTTAAATCGACTTGTCGTGTTCGCCGACAATTGCATATGATAATAATGTCCATTTTTTGTTTTCTGAATGCTTGTTGTTTAAACGTTAACGACAATTTCCGAAAATTTTCAAAGTACTTCTGCTTAGTTCTAGATTAATCACAAACTACTAAATAAGACATTACATATTATAACAACGTCTATTTTCTTCTCATTAAGATCTCTCACACATAAACTCAAGACTTCCCAATCAAGAATATTTACTTGCAAACACATCGATATAAATGTTAAGAAATTGTTGCCGCTTCGAACTCTCATCATTTTCCTTAATATTTTTTATTAATTTAAAAATAAGTTAGTTAACTAATAATTTTAATTTAAAGATTTTTATATGACATTGTTAACTTCATTTGATTCTTATTGGTATTAGTTTTCTCTCTTTGCTGTGCATATATAATTTACGTTTTAATCTTTACTTTACTCTTTAAAAACTTTTGGTTTACATTGCAACAACCGCATAGGAAATTGCGTATGATAACAACTTTTATTATATATTATGGTCTGCTTTATGTTTACTTGAATACTGGTTAAATGCTGTATTCAGAAATATAATCGTGTAATAACAGTGAATATAAAATATCAGATGTAATTGCAATTATAATAATGATTCTAAATGGACATAATTATAAAATAACTATCTAATTATATAGCGAAACCAACGTTTTCTATTCGGAATAAGTATGCTAGTCACTTTCCATGAAGCAATGCGAACGAGGAAACGATCAATGTTCTTTTGTCTTGTTCGAAGACAAATTCAGTACATATTCACTGCATTCGACAGCATCCATAACAAGATTTCATAGTATTTTAATAATATAATAAATTCCTTCCTCAATTATCTAGAGTAGGCTTTGAAAGATACAAATCCATCTCATCTACATAATTATGTGCTTCAAAATCGATTGTATTCCAGGTATTTATAAAGGGATAATGTGTGAGTGGCATTCCACCGAATTATCCTAGATAATTAACAATTCCTTGATACCGAAAGCAGCAATGTTAAGGTTACATATTAAACGGATTACATGTATAATTAACCCGTTTGCGTAATGCATTCCCCGTATCATATAAAAAAAACTGAGCTTCGCGTGACTCCTCGATCCGCAATTGATATATTGGACGTCCCTGGTCAATGGATTTGATGCCGGACTATCGTGTCTTAAGTAATGGACATGGCTTATCGATCAATCCCTTTCGAACATCTCTAATAAATCCCCATGGGCGCCATTATAAATCGCATACATGGCGTATATATCCGTCGATAGAAAGAAATTTATTCTAAATGTATAAATAATTCAAAAGCATTGATTCATCAACATAAACATACAAAAAGCATTCAAAATAAACAGAAACTGTAATTAAAATAAATAAAAAGTAATTCATCGCAAAAGTAAGCGAGTTTTTCAATTCATACGAAATTTGTTGAAGATATATCAAAGGTTGTTGTATTACGTAAATCCGAAAATATTTCCAAATGCGATAAATAAATGCATGTTGTTTTCAGCTCCTGTGTCGGGTGACATTTCGAACAGGATTCTTTCGATAAATATTTGCGATTTTTCAAATGTGACGACCACCCACTTCTCGCTGCCAACAAACATCATTCTATTGTTTTCCATTTCATTTCTATTTTCGTTGTTTCCTTTCCTTACTTACAAAACGTTCGTGCGAATGTAATATGCGTTCCTGTTTTCTTTTTATGTGTAAATTCAATATGATGATCTTCTTTTGCATACTAACTTCGATGGATTAACCCATGTGATATTCAGCGAGTAGGGCTAAGAGCTCGCATCTCTATTAGCGAACTTTCGAGCATTACGTAAGAGGATTACGTATTAGTAAACTGCTTTATAATAAAAGCGCTTTGCTCAGTGCTCAGGCGAAGATGAAAAATACAAATCCTGGTAAAAATAATCGATGGCTATGTCCCCTATTTATAGGGGAATAGGAAGGAAATTAATGCGGTAGATGCGTTCGGAAAATAGGAGAGCAAAGGGAATCCGTGCTGTCGATAATATAATAATAAATATTCGAGATGCAAGTTATGCGCCCCGACCTGAAAACTTATTACATAGCAAATAATATTCCAAGTCTTACGATTGATATATGGATCCAAATAATTTACAATCATTCAATCATTTCCCTTCTTGTAATCATTTGGAAATATTACGTGATATTCTTCGCAACCGCATATATTTACTTTTATGAAATAAAAATACATATTCATAATCCATACTGAAACAAATATAATTTTGTTTATGTATGGATATTGCGAATAATAGAAATTCAATGAAGTTTCATTTCAAATCCATTTTCTGCTTATGACTATTATTATTAACATTTTTTTTATTGATCCACTATGGTTCTTGGGAATTAAATTTACTTTATTTGAATGTAAAATACTTATTTATTTTATTTATTCAATTAAAAATATATGACTAAAGAGTCACAGCACCCTCGACCTCCCCTTTAGAAACTAAGGTTCGTTTTATTCGTGCATTACAGTGAATATCTTTCAAGTTATTATTTAATCAAAATTATTTTTTCCCAAATAATCACATTAATATTTAGTTAAATTTGAGTTTGTTTGTTGGAAGGTTTGCGATGGGAATTCGTTCCGCTACACTCTTGTTATTTTGTTTTTCTGTTTTTATTTTCTTTTTTTTGTGAAAAATGTTTATATTCATACTAATTCTATTAACGATTCTACGTAGATTATTAATACATTAATATTCATTAGCGATGTTGATTATCTTGAAAAGTTTTCTCGGAAAATGCAGAGTTCAAAATCTCTTAACAGAATTATTATTAACTACACCTTCATGTATAAAATCCATTGGCCTCGCAGTTTTATTTTTCGTTTCAACTGAAATCGACTTTCAGCTACTTTATACATTTATTTTTTTGTTGGTTTGTTCACTTACTTTTGACACGCGTTTTTCTCATAATTTATTAGCGGATAAGGCTGTACTCGGGGGGCGCACTATCGAAAATCCAATTTGCATAATTCGTTAGGTCAAGCTGATGTAAATGGAACTAAAGCAACCAAAAAGAAACGGGAAGAAAAATAACCGATAATGCGACTATTTGGGAAAACCGGTTTTCGGAATTTCCTGTTTTCGCTGTCGGTGCACAAAAGAGAGCGGTTGGTGCACGAAATTGCACGGATGAATGGAGCCGATTAGTATATAAATGGAATGGATGCAATATTTTGTTTGTTTTGTTTTTAATTCTTCAATGGATAAGTTTTCCGTGCGAGCTTCGTATTTTGTATTAAACGGTAGCCTTGCGCGCGATACTGTAAATACTAAACAATTTCTGGTGACGCGCAATTGCGATGTTGTTTGGTGTTGCTTTTTCGGTTTAGTTTCTCCGCAAATAAACAAAAAAAAAACTTGTTGATTAACGTGGAGAGCTCTCATGCATATTTACGCGGTGGATCGAAATGTGATTAGGTCGCGTATCTCTGGGAAACTATCTGTCTGCTATATAGCTCTGTCCTCTCGTCCGTAGCTCTCACTCTCTCTCTCACTCTCTCTCTGGGTACACGGACAAAGTTACGAGCTTTGAGGTTGGACAAGCCATCTCTATTCCTGTGTTTGCGGACTTAATTAGGGACCCATTCATCTGACTGCATTCAATGTCATTTGTCGACGCGTGTACATCACAACGTCACCGGAGCTTGTTTAACAAATGTAAAAAGAAACCACATTATCACCCCCACAGCATCATCCCTCTGCCCAAGTCCATATCATTAATGAATTATTGATGGTTACCACAATTCCTCTCACACGCATAACCGCAGACAAGCAACTTCGGAGCGAAAACTCGAAACGAAAGAGGAATCTCGCCCGACGTTCTTCTAATATTTACATAGTCCTGGCGAACTTCAAGAGAGGAAGGGTAAAAGACACCGAAGAAAAAACAACCGCGAAACCAAACATGCTAACGACATTACTTCCTTACATCAAAAGGATCCTTCTCCGCCATTTGTGATTTCATTTTCATTAGAGTATTAAGATTAATCTTTATTAAAAGTTTCTTTACTTATCATGTGTTCTCTAAAGGCATAACTTTTTATAAGAAATAAACAAATACAGTCTATTCCGCTTAATCGGAATAGCCGCTTATTAAGAACAAATCTTAAAGAACGGAAACAAAACCGAGCAAATAACAAATGGAACTTCGGATAATTGGGATAACTAGTCCCGATGTGTCCTGATTAAACTGTATTTAAATGAGTAGCAAAAAAATAATATATATATATATTATTATAATGTTTGCGTCATATTCCCAGTGTGGAATAGTGAACTAATCAACAAACTAATTAAAATGTCGGATGCGTGGTAGTATGGAAGTACATTTATAACGTTACTAATAGATTGGTTCGAGGATATTTAAAAATCTAATTAAGTTGTCCGATTCGGAAACTGCGGAATCGATTCGTCGATTCGACAAAAAAATAAATAAATAAATAAATATGGAACTATCGATTATTCAATTATTCTAAAGTTATCCCCAGCTTCAAATAATTGAGAAACTAATTTAATTAGTAGTTTCATTCTCATATCGATTCATTCTCACAGGTTTTTCGAGTGCGAAGTTTATTAGAATAAATTGGAAAAGTGGCAATGATTAACACTCGAATATGAAGTAAGTTAGGAATATATGTTACAATATTGAGACATATTTTGCGTTAGGTTGGAGTTGGTCTGAGAGGTGTAATTTACAATAGGATATTGCTTATAAACTATAAGATATAATGGTACGAAGTAGTAAAACTTATTATAGTAAAAAGTTTTATAGGATTAATTGGAATAGAGTACTTGATGCTTCTTTATACTGTAAAGTTTATTATTACTTATTGGTCAATGTTGACAAACACGAGCAGTTTGAAAATATTTATGGTCCTCGGGGTCAAATCGTTCCGTATCAGGCAAACCACGTACGTATAAAGTGGAAAAAACAGATTAATAAATAATAAATGTGAGCATTACAGAGACTTTCGCTATTCATTCTTTAATGTCATGTTAATTACACGATTATTTTTTGTGTGTGTGAATAACTATAATTGTTGTTGAATAAAGTGAAGACTTTCATCGTTGATGAATATTTGAAAATGTTCTATGTAAAAACGTTAAGATCCGTTTACATTCGGAGCTCATTTCGTATGCAGGTCGATTATGTGGTTATTAGTACTGTTCTCGTTTATTTATATTCCGAAAACGAGATAAATTATGACAACATCTCGGGTCAATAGCCATGTGCTATGCAATACAGAACCATATGAATTCACTTACAATAACGAAAACTATAAAAATCGCCATATATCTATTGCTTATCTCCGACGAGTTACGACACATCAAAGACACTTTTTTTAATCTATCCCAGATTTTTTTACAAACTCTTATAGTTTATATAATATGTAAATTAAAGAAACAGATTTTTTTATTAAAATTAATAATTCATTTAATTAGACTTATTTTTAGCCTATATTAATTACTTAAATATTAAATTTTAATCGATTAACTGACTAAACAAAATCGATTTAGGCAAAAATTATATTACGTTTTAAATTACATACATTTTTGTATAAACTACAAACATAAGCTATACAAAGAAGATTTAAGAAATTTATACTTAAGCTTTATAATAGATTAGCTTATTGTAGTGGATTAAAGCAAGTGTTGAAATTTCAAGTAAGAAGATACAAGTAACTTTTATATCATAATCAATTGTAAGTTAAAGTAAAAAAAATAGTTTTCAGTTTAAGGCAAATAAAGGAAATAAAGGAATAAAGGAAATGAATTTTAGAGGAGTAAATCAAGTGTATATAAAAGAATTGTTTCATACGTGAGTGTGATGATACAAGCATTTGGATTTTTTATATTAAAAGAAGTTAATGAGATATAAAAAAAAAAACTTAAGAATAATTAAAAATAACAGAAAATATTTGTAGAAGAATCAAGCAAGTGTTACATAGGGATGTGTAAAATGGAGATACTGATAGTTGGGTCAATTTTGGGTCAGATGATACTAGAAAAGTGAATACCATACACACTATCTCAGATCTTGCCCGTGGTAAGACAAGTGCATTGGTTTAAAAAAAAATTGAAAGAATTTCCAAGCAAAACGAATTAAACAGACAAATTAAACATAAAGTTTGAACTATTATTAAATTTATAAAAAAATGTATGTTTCTATTTGTCATTGCAAAAACGCAATTTTTATATAAAAAAAAAACAACATAAATATAAATAAATTCAATCCAAAGTGAAATCCATTAATTAATTGTTGAAATTGAGTATTTAAAAATAAATTAATGCGTATTTGGAATTTTCCATCGACAATTGTGGAATGATTTATTTTAAATTGAATGTATTTAAATAATTAGTTAATATTTCGTTAAAAAGCAATTGAAATAAACAAAAACTAATTAAACAGAAAGTTAAAACCATTTAATTCCATCGACAATTACTGGAATTGTAACGAAATCTTCTGTTTTCCATATGCGTAATGGATAAATTGCAGTACGGAGGGAAAATGCGTCCGAATTGTAATTTGTTTCGTAATAAATCAGAGCGAGCGCTAATGCAATGAATTTATTGATAAAATCCGAAACTGTAATATTTTACTTAATTTGATACTTTCATTACTACTCGATGGATTGTCGTTAACACTTTCGAGAGAACGATTGGACAAAACGCAACGCAACGATTATTGAATATTAATCAGCGCTAGTTTAATTACAGAACGATTTTGCAAAATAACTGACAGCAACAGTTTATGCTTCTAGGAAAAAAAAAATAACTACGAGCAATAGTTTAGCCACGTTTCTTATTTTTTTTTTTAATTTGCGCAAATATTTGTACAAAAAAATAGCTTACACTATATTCCATTCTGCGTAAATTGTTTCACTTGTTTTTTTTTGGTACTAGTGATGAATTCTTCGTATGTAGTCCTCGACGTTAACGTTCTGGGCAACAGCTGGTGTCACTTCGACTTCACGTAACTCACTGATACCGCGATTTACAAGCTTCTTCCCATTACGCAAGCGGCAAATTGACGCGTATTTTCACGCTGCCAATCGTTTGCATAAACAAAACGCAAATTAGTTTTGTTTGTTTCGCAGATAGATATTTCATTTATATATTTTTTCTTGTTGCTAACCTCTGAAATTCATTAAAAATTCCACGCGTAATTTTCCCGTAGAAAACAATACAAAACAAAAATTTGAAATTAAACACAGAAAATCTTGCATTAAAAAACACTTCCATTATTAATTTCACATTACCCTCCAGTTTCTACTGTGCTTTTATATTCTTCCTTTCTCTGTTTCGTCGGCTTACGATTGCAGCTTAATTAATCCGGACTAAATTAATTTAATAATGACTAACTTAATATTTTATTAATATAAGGTTTTCCTGGAAATTGCACTGCTTCTGACATTTAAGTATGTTAAATCCTTATTTTTTTATGTTTAGTTATAATTTTCCTTGAAATATTCAAGTTTATTCAGCAAATTTTAACTTTTTATCCAGTACAAAAAAATAATAGTAATTTGAGACCCCCTTGAATTAAAATATTTAAAAAGCCTTTCCTAGAAATTGCATTGTTTCTGACATTTACGTATGTTAAATCCTTATTATTTTATGGAACTTCAAATCTTTGTCCCCACTGCAAAATATTATTCGGGCTCGGGATTTTCTTTTAAGTAGCAAACTTCCCAAACAAATTTTTATTTGTAATAGAGCCCTAAACAACAGATTTCGTGACTGGCCAAGGCAATAATCTCATGCTCGAATATAATATGAGTGTGCTTCTCGTTTTATTATTTTATTTTTTTTCCTCTTTAGTTTTTTGAACTACTTATTTTTCTATCAAAATAAATAATGGTATAATTGTTTACGGGATTAATATAAATAAACTGGTAATATGTTTATACTACATTTTTCTGTTTATTATTTTTATAAATCTTTATAGTGTTTACCAAGAAATTCACAATTTGCTTCAGGATACTAAAAACCATTTCTTCGAAACTTCCACAATGTGTCATACTAACATCTTGATGTAATTGAATTTTAATTATGTGAAAAAATTGTATATTATTTTTAAATTAAATTATCAATAAATATTTTTTTATAGTGAATAAAAATAGAGAGAAATTGAAATTTCCATTAATCTTTCATAAGTGAATGAGACTATAAAGATTTTTCATTGCAAAGAGATTTTATTTGAAAGTGAATGGAGATTAAAAGCATGGAAGAAACGATTATTTTTAATAAATTTGTATGAGAAAAAAAAAATGCAATCTTCGCTTCAGAATTACATGAGTTTAAATTTAGACTAAAGAATGCGGTGATTCTGTGTAGTGTTATGAAACATGTAAATAGAAATGCATACGTTGCTCACTTAAATCAGAGTTGTTTTTTTCTTAAATTCAAGTTAAATCAAATATTTATGACGTACACTAATTTATATCTTGAATTGATAAAAAGAGTAAGTTTAACCCTTAAAAATTTGATATCTAAGTACATTAACAGTACATATATTGTGATTTTTTAATTACTTTTCCATTTATCTGGCTACTGCAATAGATACATTGTTTTTGTTTAAATTTAATTTGGAAAATCAATCATTTAAGGGTTAAGGAATAACTGATGTGAATCAACTTCGATTTTTGATCAAGTTATTTTGCTCCAATATTAATTGCAATAAATTAGAAAATGTAAGCCACTTTCACTTTCCTAATGTCTCCTACATCCGGATATAATTATAAGTAACCCAGTAACCAATCATCATGGTCAAGGTAAATATAGGTGTGTATTAAAACTTTGCAAAGGTTGAATGACCCAAAAATTATAGCAGAAAGTTTGTTACGACAATCGCAAACATTAGATATTTTCCCAGAATTACTTATAAGCATCTAATGTATTAAAAAAATACTTTACACTTCTTAAAATACAAAAATTTAATAAACTTGTTTAAATTAATTTAACATAATAAACTAAATTAAAAAGATAAATATTTGTATATTCATTATTATATTGATAAAATTGTTATAATTAAAAAATAACTTTAATTATTTCAATTTTCATTTTTAAATGTTGGTTAATAAATAATTACATAAATACGTTTATTAGGATGTGTGTTAATTTTTTGACAGTACTCGAATTATATAATTACAACAGTATATTGATTTTAATTCCAGCGAGGTATCCTAAATTTGACAGTGTATTACACAAAAAGCTCATTCCATATAAATATTACAGATAATTTATTTCCAAGAGTTTCGACATTAATTATAATAACAAACATTACGTCAATCATTTGTTTGATAGTAATTAATGAGATACAAATTATTTCCAAGAGTTTTTATTTTGATTATCCAAAGTATTAAAACTAATACTCTATTCATTCTTGATTACTTAATGGAATTAGGAGTTATCATAAATATGCTACAAAAAATTTGTATTTGTGAAATATAATTATTCTTGAAAATTGAGAGTAGTTTAATTTATTAAATTTTTTGTTTTAATTTTGATAGTCAATAAACTAAAAACTCCATTCAGTATATTTGTAAGAATTAATTTATAATTTAGCAATCATATAATGATGACAAAACATTATATTTGCAAATAACAAATGTAAATGGAACTTCGGATAAAGCGGATATAAAAAAAAAATCATTTTTTTGTTAGCCAAATTTATCCAGTTTGTCTTTTGTTGTATCATAAATGATAAACTGGTAGATTATAATAATTTAGTTTGGAATTTCCCTACGGACTACACGTTTTCGGACAACAAGCTCCACTGAGCTTTAATGCAAGCTTGTTCATCAGTGGCTGAAGAGCACTCGTGAATGATTGATAGCGTGCAAACAAACAGTAGGAAATAAACGAAAATTTAAGAAGGAAAGTATAGTTACCGGGCTGATGGAATTCGTATGGTAATGCTTTATCGGAGATTGAATAATCAGTAGTTCGGGCATAAAGGAAAAACCTCGGCACTGATACAATTACACTCCGGCACAATGAAATACCGTCGGTGATAAGTTTTACAATTGCATTAGCTGTTCAACGCCGAAAGCCTCTGGCCAGTGCGGATTTGTTCCCAACACTGATGTTGTTCGTGAAACACCACCGATTTCGACAAAAAAATAGTATATATGTTATGTATGTGTATGAAAGAGAAAAAGAGAGAAATAGAAAGTGGTGTACACGCCACATCCAGTTGGATAGAAGAAGACGGAATTCCGATGGAGAACGAGATAAATAATAAATAAATAAATAGAAGGAAATAGATAGATAGAAATGTTGCAGACAACCACAGTATTATATACATACGGGCACGATCTGGCGCTTGGCCCAGATTGTTGGGCAAAAAAAAACGAGAGACAGAGAGAGAGAGAAGTGTATGGAATCGATAGAATCGCCTCCGAAGAACTATTGGAATCATGCCTCTATTGTCCCATGCCAGGGGCTCCAATTACAATCCATCAAAGTAAAACGAAAGAATCGAATAGAAACTATCGCATTCAGTTTATCTGCCCGTTCGCAAAGCCCAGGTACCTTCCTAATGGTCTCTCCTCGATGGATGAAAGAGAAAGTTCGAAAAAGCAAGAGTCCAAAGGCGGATCCCATTACAGAATTTAGAGGTCGGCCGCTGCAAAAATATTGATGCCGACGTCCATAATTTTTTCAAATATCATCAGCTCCTACCATCATCACAAACCCAATCGGAATGTAAATGTGATAAAGTAGTAAAAAAATATCTTACATGGAAAATCACTAAAGAAGACATTAATCCGAATGGAACTTCACAAGAAATGAATCTTTCCACGTTCCCCACATAAACGCAGCTGCTCACGCATTCGATTTCGATATTTATTGTCGCCCATAATTCAGAACAAGTATGTTAATAGTTCGAGCGCTCTTACCATAACAATCCATAAATAACGAGTCTTTAATAGAGTTTCCTTTTTGTTTTGTTTTATTTTCATTTCCTTTTGCTAACGCGTTACCGAAATTACTTTAATGAGTAACTAAAGACCGCACAGAAGGATCAGCAGCGCCTGTCTTCAATAAGTAATAAGACTATTCAATTACGTGCAAGGAAAACGGATCAATCGTAAAGTTTAAAAGTGCAGCGACGCCCGTCTCAATAAGTAATGAGGGTTCTTTTCGACGTGTCACCATAGGAGGTTGTTACGTTGTTACAAAACCCACATTTTCTTACGAAGTCCTACAGCATTATAATTGCAGTGCGCATTACACACATGATGAACAGTTTTTCATATTTATTTTGCATACTGTTTTTATATCTCTCCTAGAGGTCGGACAAACATATACGCTTCAGCATCAAATTTGCATCCACTGTAAATAGTTATTTTCCAGCGTCTGAAGCAATATTACGTTTTCAAAAGAAAAGAAATGCAAGAAGTTTTAAATTAAAAATTAACTGAAATATTCCGCTCGAATGTAAATGACAAAGATACGCTAATAACAGATTCCAATGACGGATGCCGTGTTTTGTTGTACATTTTTCTCAGCTTTTGTTTTCAGAATCGATTTGAAATAAATACTCGGAAAAATAATTGTTTCATTTAGAAATTATTTACATTTGTATACACTAAAAATTAATAGCGAATATCGAATGTTCGAACAAAAACATATATTTTGTATAATTGAATTACATTTTCATCCTACCAAAACCCATCAATCAATAATTACTGGTTAAATTTATTTGTAAACAATTACGTTTATTAAACATTAAAAAATCAATTGATTTTTGTCTTTAGTATCTTCAAGAATTGTTTAAAGAATCTTAATTTTGTACTTCTATTGTCCTGGAGATGTAAAAGTTATTATTTTATATATTTCCGAAGTTTTTGTTTGCAGGGTTTAATTTCATTAGCAGGATTTACATTTTTGGATTAAAATAAGTTTTATATAATAATATAAGTTTTATAACTGAAATAATCATTTTATTTCAAGTTTCAGTAATAACATTCTTTATATAATCGATAATATCTAAGATATTATAAATTGTAGTTTTTCGTGCATTCAATTCTAAAAATATGAATTAAATGTTATATAAATAAGATAACTATTTTCAGTGAATTATGTCGTAAGTCCTGGGAGCAATCATTGAAAGTGTGTCTGTGAACTTATGATGACACATTTTTGTAGATTAGTTCTAAAATTGGTTTGTTTTGTTCTAAATATAAAAATTTCTTATAAGAACATTGGCAAGGTTATGATATGGGCTGAGTAGGTCGCGTGCCACGTGTTGAACACCTCTGAAACAGAGTAACATATCTTCGGTAGAGACACACGACACGTGGCCTACAGACCGTTATGGATGTTGCTTCCTGACGAATGCAGTTACGTAAATGTTTACATCCGGTCCTCGAGTAAAAAGAGGACTACGAAGCCTGCTCGTGGTTTCGTGATAAAAGATGGAAATAGATGGAAGCGCTTACGAAGCATTGCGAAGCTACTGCTGAAGTAGGTGCATCTACAATACGTTTCATAAACCAGATTCAATGCATGCTGTTTGTAAATATACAATCAGAATCTTGATGAATGTTTGGGAAATACCACGGTCATATTTACAATTACACAAATCAAGTTATAAACCCAGCGTGTCAGCCGATTGTTATGGTTCCTCGGAATGGTTTTGTAAACTCGCTCGCTTCACGTGCTACGTTAAGTAATGATATGATCGGCATTCGGTTCTGACTTGGTTCATTCGACTTATTTATATGATTTTATTTTTACGCCAGAAAGTGGACATATGCGGGAAGGTTTCTAATGCTGTGCATTCGGTCTGTACTGATATATTATTAGAAGGAAAAGAAGTGTAGCAACTTTTATCCTTTACACGCTTACTTTTTTTTGCTTCGCTTCCTTCTTTCTTGGACCTACAATCGGGTTGTACAGGAGCCCTCTGGCGTCATCGAGCTGTGGAATTGGCGGTTTTATAAATAGGTGCATTTTCGAATTTCCCGCGCGCCATCTGCGATTGCCTCGACGCGGCACCTTCATCACCTCATCCTGCACTAAACCTATCCAAATGTAATGCTGCCTCCTCTGTATCATTATTTTTTTTGGTTCACCTCTCGTTTCGTATTCTGGATAAATTTGGTGCACTGTGACACCTCAGGAAACCATTTGTTTTGCTTATTTTTAGAACCTTCGGTCAGTACGGATCGGGATTTCGCAGCGGTTCAATTTTGAAATTGGACGAGAAAGAGCAAAAAAATTATTAATGTTTTGTATGTGTGTGCGCGCATAAGAGTGCGTGTGAGTGTGTTAAGGAGGATGGAATCCAACAATCTGGGATAAGCTTCAGATTTAGACAAGGTCTGGTTGGGAATGGACGTCGTTATGCTCATACTAAATATAGACTTGTAGCCGCGCATTTGATTATGTTGGTAGTTTTTTGTCGTACACGAAAAGACAAATTTGCGATGTGTATAAGAGAGTAGTGTGAGGTGGTTTGGAGAAAATTGGAATATACCACGAAGAAGAAGCAAAAAAAACAGAATTAATAAAAAAAAAAGTGGAGCAACTTCCGGACATGCTGACGGGGAAGGTGTAGGGAAAGGTAAGCCTAAATATCCTGTAGGTCGAGTACTTCAATGTAGATACGAGTGGTCATGGTAAAGATGTCTTCCTCGTAGTCAAAGATTATCCGTTAATCTGAAGATGAAAACAAATTACGAGGCGAAAAATGAAGTTGCAACGGGGGTGACTCAGGAATTATGTAATTCCCATTTCCGTCTTTTATTTTACACATTTTTATTATTACTTCTTTAAATTCCGCTTCATTTTTTCTTTTCCGACTTTTGCCAATGACAAAGATCACTTTTCAGCGGATGGAAACTTGCAGTTTCCATCCCCTGAGATAAGGGAAACACAAAAACTATAAATAAAACCTGGCCCATCGTATGTTCTCCAATTATGAGATTGATCTCTTGCAGAGTAGTGTTTTAATTACGTAAATTAGTGGACCTTATTAATAAGCCGCCATCTAGCTGTAGGCATTCCTCCCCCGTGCTCCTCCGACCCTGACGTCGACGCCACCACCGATTCCGTTTTCACCGCCGCCACTCGAGGGATTTAATGTGTTTTGCCACTTGCGAATCGTTAACTCGATCAATTTGCGTAAATAATGAATCTATGCCGCCGCTGGAGGAAAAACACTTGCAACGAAAATAAAACCGTTCCGCGAGAAAATTAAAATAGTAACGAGCTTAGTTTGTTCTGATGTGTCTTTGGTGGAGCGACGCCAAATCTTCGGAAGGGCTCATCTTCAATTCGATTTCGTGCATTGTTTCCTTGATTCTTCTTAGATGTATGGCAGATGCGGTAAATCGAATTTGGTATTTGGGCGCCACTGAACCACTTGTAGGAATGACCTGACCCACCGATCCATCTCAAAGTCTTCTCAATTATTTTCTTCGTTGGCATTGACATAAGACAGATAATAGTCTAGAATGTCGCCACTGGGTCGCCAACATAACAATGTTATAGTATCGATTTTATAATTAGGTAATACAAGTTCTCCATGTAAATTATACGCATCTCTATTTCTTCATCCAATATTACATTAATATTGAAATCTTACAAATTGTTACTTTTCAAGTTAAGAAAGTCTGGAATGCGATCTAGTGGTGACTAGGTCGCCAACTTTGGTATCCATCAGTCCACACCCAATATCATATTGTTACAAAATGGATTTCATACTTAGGTAGAAATAGTTATTCAACAACATCTTACCCAATGACAAACTCTTTTAACACATACGTCATCAATATTTCTTAAGCAATACTACTTTGTAAACTTGCAAGTGCTTACTTTTAATGTTCTGACCATCCTTAGATTAGATCCAACATTTCTAACTACCAATTTGAAAAAAAAATATATCAAAATAATACTGCACTCAGATATAGCGTTTCATGAGATATAAATATCCATCAGTATATAAGTATCAACGTTATCATAGATTTAGGATTATACTAAAATTAAACAAAAATCTGTAGTTTAATAAGAGTAATACATCAGGTAAATTTGATAAATGTTTGTCTCATGTACAACATAGTGTAGATGCAATAATGTTGTAGCCTTATATTATTGTTGGTTAGTATTACTTATTCAAAAGCATCTTTAAGCAGGTGGCGACACGAACTCATCAAACGCTGTATTATATCATTCAGTAAAAAGAGTATTCGCTTTGATGTGAAACCATATCCAAATGGTTGCTAAATGGACAAAATGTTGTCCAGAAACTCGATAAATATCTGCTTTAAGAAAATATGTCATTCAAATATTATTATGATATTTGTACTTACTGTATACATATGAAAATGATATATAATTTACTTTTTCAAAAAGTATTGAGAAGTCGACAATACTCGATAAATAGGTATTCACAATAAAACGTATCTAATAGCATTGTGATACACCTATAAAAAATGAACAAATTGCTAAAATAATGAATGTTTATTTAAATTAATATTAATATTATTGAAGAAAATATAAATTCTAATTGGATTAATGATCGTAATATCAATATGTTTTATGTTTCAGACCAAAAATGAGCATGCATCTGTATCCTATGGGCAAAGGGGATCCCCTTTGCCCATTGGGTTTCCATCCCCAAGTCAGGTGGCCCACGCGATGTAAACGATGTTTCAGGTAATTATTGGGAGAACGGAATAGCGACAGACATTATTTAGTCAATTATGTCGTGCAAATGCATTTGGTTTCACCGATAGTAGCAGGTCAATGAGCTTGAACATGAAACGCATATGTTGCATGTATTCTATGTGCATCTATGTGCAGATTTATTTCACTTCAATTAATTTTAAATTGTACGTTAATCTAATAGGATTTATAATCAGAATGTAGGATTAACATCATTACCGGGGAAACCCCACGCTTATTCTATCGATAAAATAGTTGCATTCTATATAACTATAATTTCAATAGAAATGATTCATTAATAATAATGCTACGTAAACAATTACAGTTGTAAACATTAGTTTCCTTTTTATAAGAAACATTATATCCCATATGTTATTTTATAGATAATTTTATACAATTTAATTATTTATATATTTCGTTCAGGTTTTCAATTTATTTTTTGAATTTTCTGTAAATATTCGAAATATTAAATATTACTCGATATTTTAATAATTGTGAACGCAATTATAGTTTGTTATTTTTTTGTTCAACAAATGATTATAAGAGCCAAGAGACAAACATTAGTATACATTTTTTCCTCTCTGATAAAAGAAATTATTGTTTTCTATTTACGAAAGTTTAGGTCTCTCAATTTAGCTTATGGTATTTCAGTTCTTTTCGGGAATTCAAATAACGAAATGCGAAGCTAAAACGTATTTTATTTGGTTCGTTAAAACCGCTTGTATGATAAATTATAACACCGTTTGTTTGTAACGAAATTTGCATGGGTTTAATTTGAAATTCAATCGGCCTTCGTTTGGTTTTTATTGGCTGCAGGCAACAAGAAAATATGTATAGCAGCCAATTGTCGAATATTCGAATATATTATAGAGGTGTGTCCGTGGTTTCTAGAAACAGATTTTGTTTGCATTCCACTTTAAAATTAGCAATTATCAATGGTTCTGTTTGTTTCGCTTCTTTATAGTTAAAATTACACTGATAATGCCGTACGAAAATACAAAATGTTATCAAGCAGTCGCTGGCCAAAACCGCAGATAAGATTAATTCATTAAACTCTGCGCGAATTAATTTTTAATTAGCGCTATTTTTAAAAGAAAACAATCGATTGCTGCGAGTTGTTTTTCTCTACGCTCTCTCAATTTTTTTTTTCTGTTGCTGTGTAGAGATTACAAGGAGCACGGCGGTAAGAGGAGAGACTTGGATATGAGGAAGGACGATACCACAGCTTCGACGCCTAGCTTAGGTACCTACAACTCGAGCGAAGGCAGGAGGAGTTGGGCGTCCAGCACCAACCTCGATCAGGATAAAAAGGATGCGGAGGAGGCATTCAAGAAGAACCCTTCCTCATGGACGTCCACTCCAGACTTGGCGAATCTCGAGGACGACACCCAAGCTAACATTCCCACTGTTAGCCTGACGTTGCCTCTTCGAAAGAAGATCCCTCCGGATACCGGCCAACCTTTAGGTAACTTATGCAATTACACAAGCATTCCTTGCTGTGCGGATAGAAGGCTTGACCTTGAACGATAACCACCGGGGTTGGAAGATTGTTGCAATCAATATTATTTAACGTCCAAATTGAGATGATTGCATTGCCGGAGCAATCTCAGATTCGTTAAGGTTGCTGGCTGCAATTAGGTCCAAGCAAGGCACTTGTTGCAATCTAGATTCAAGTGGATTACATTTTCGGTAAGCAAGGATTCTAATGTATTCAAGCAATTATTGAAGAAGTGTTTATTCTCTGCTCGGAACACGAACCAATCAACCGTGATGATTATGCAAATGCACCGCACACACTTTCTAGTCATGTCATCCTCTCTTAGATAAATGCTAATATGCGACAGCCTTGGAACAGAGCAAATAAAATCCTGTCAATATAGTATAAAGGACGTTTTCTGGGGTGTACACATTAACCACGCTATTTGTATGGTATAAACAATTCGAAATTATCCATACTAATTCCTCAACAATATTCGATTTTTTTTGTTAATAATATCTATTGTCCGTACACAATCATATATTTTGATTGCTGCCAAAATACAAATTCAAAGCGAACTAAATTCCAGTTTGTTAACAATGGGGAAAATTGACATTTTCCGTGTTGCTACATTACATATATATTCATGTATACCTCAATGGCGTATAGTCCATTATTACTGCAACGTTCCAATTTCATTGTACATTAAAACATTAAAATGCTAATAAAATTATCAATTTATGACAAAAAAAAAAGTAAAATTATAGTTAAATTTGTATTTATTTATAAATCAAATTCTGGACTGGGTTTACATTAATTTTAGTTAATATGAACGGAATACATTCATTCTATATTCATCCGATTTAGTATTCATCCATCTCTAAAGAACGGATCAATGATGAAATTAATATGAAGTTTTGAAGCTTCTGCTATTAGCCACATTAATAGTCATTATTTATACACAAACGTTGTCCTTTAAATTCAATATTTGTTTCTATTTCAAAAACGCATATGTATACGCAAATCTTGTCAAAGGTTAATAACAAATGGCCCTATGGAGTCAACAACGTTTAATGAAGCATTTGTTCAATATATAAAAAAATACAAACTAAAATATCCACACAGCGAAATAGTGTGTTCAGATTTATTCACTCAAAAATATAAAACGCAGTTGAGGTAAAAGATAATCGAATCGCAGTTACGGTTACAAAAAAATAGATAAATAAATATGGAAGAGCAGCTGCGGCGACGGATACGAACATGGACATATTTATGTTTGTGCGGTTGTTTCGGGCGCTTTTTAAGATACAATTTTTCGTTATGCTAACACGGTTTAACAGTAACATTTTTTTCGCATCGTCGCAGAATATATTCGCTTCGCAAAATAAACTTATTTATCCTGGAGAAAACTCGTTTGCAATTAATTTAATTAAATTCCGATATGCGAATACTTTTTAATTTCCAACCGCTTTTTAATGTATATGTATATTTTTTAAAATTATTATTTCCATTTGAAAATTCAGTTCTTACCTTTGCTTAGACGCCGGTAGTTGTAGCTTAGACGACTGGAAAAACTTGATTATGAAATATCGCTGAAGCCTGACGACACGTCTGGACTCTTTCAGCTGCAACTAGCAACTGATTATTTTGCGCATACATTAATTTAGCGCCGCCAATCTACCATCCGCACAGCCGCCCTCACGACTTCCACCCCTCCCCCCCCCTTTACAACACGTCTAATTTGAATAAACATTTATTTTCTCTCTCATCCACCAACGCAACCACCGTTCATTTCAATCATGGACTCGTTTGTCCATCTTTCATCTTTGTTTTTGTTTTTGTTGTTGTTGTTTTTGTCCTGTTTCTTCGTCTGCTCTAATTAGCTCTCCTTTTATACAGCCGGTATGCAAGCCAGATCCGAGAAGGCGACAGTATTCAATAAAAGCGATAGCCTGGCAACGAGGATGAAGAAGCTCCAATCGCTGAGAGAGTCTTCGCAAGAAAAGGCAAAGAGAATACACATCAAAGAGATTAAACCGGCTGAGGTGGAATCGTCGAACGACGTACAATTTCTGATCCAAGTAAATCGATCATTCCTAATACCGTAATTCCGTCTACAATTATATAACTATGCTTGTTTAGGTGAAAAACAAATCGCCTAGGAACAATGGTAACTATCGATCCGACAGTGTGGATATGGATGATGATGATACAGTAAGTATGGCTGGAACCGAGACCACCGATTCCACGACTTTAGTAGATCACAACGAGTTCGAATTGAAGCATCAATTAGATGCTGTAAAACAGGAGCTCGAAACTGCTAAGGCTAAATGCGAACGCCTAGAGAAAGAAAAGAGTAACATCTTGTTAAGGCGTCTCACCGCAATGGACACTTCCAAAATGAATACATCCGAAGTTCTCAAACTCCAGCAGAAAGTCAACGAGTTCCAAACGCAATTGGATGACTACAAAGACGAGAAGAAAGTACTGAGCTTGAGAGTTAAAGAGCTGGAAGATGACCTAGATAATAGACCAACACCTCAGGCGGCCCAGAAAGTTGCAGATGAATTAAGTTCAAAGCTTCTTGCAGCTGAGACCCTTTGTGAGGAGCTCATGGATGAGAATGAAGACATTAAAAAAGAACTCAGAGATCTCGAAGACGAAATGGAAGAAATGCAAGACCATTTTAGGTATATTACTAATAATTTGTTTTAAATAAATATAAAATGAAAAAAAAAACTATTTAAAATCTATCAAATATAAATTTCTATTTTAATATTCAATGGATATTTTTGAATCATATAATTGTAGGGAAGACCAAGCTGACGAATATTCATCGCTGAAGAAGGAGTTAGAGCAGACGACAAAGAATTGTCGTATCCTCTCGTTCAAATTACGAAAGAATGAACGCAAAACGGAACAGATGCTTCAAGAGAAAACGGAGGCGGATAAGAAACTCTCTGAGGTTATTGTCACATATTTAGTTAATTATAATTAATTAATATTATTTCATTTATTTAGCTGTCCGGGGGAACACCCACTCAATACTTAGAGAAAATCAAGGTCTTGGAGAAAGATCTACACCTAGCTAACGAAGCCAATACTAATCTACAGAAAAAGCTGGAGGAGACCTGTGTCAAGTTATCCAAGGCGGAAGAGAACAAGCTTCCATCAATCTCGAAACGCAAAGCACCGATGTTGGCATCTCTAGGAAAGAATGCTTCTAATGATATGGTATATAGTTATTATTTTATAAAGAAATTAATGGGCTTTATTATTTTTTTTTAATTAACTTAGAAAGTATCTCGTGAATCTTTAACAAGAGGAGGATCACAAGATGATCCTGTTCAGCTTTTACGAGATTTGCAAGATTCTTTAGAGCGCGAAGCTGATCTACGAGAACAATTGAAGTTCGCTGAAGAAGAATCTCAGACAATGCGCAAGAAAGTTTCAAGGATTGAAGATGATAACGAATCGTTGGTGCTTCAACTCAAGAAGATGGCTACAAGAGCGAGACGTATTTTGGATTGTCTGTATATAATGATTATAATTGTAAATATTTAATTTTTAGCAAGAAAATTAACACCAACTAGAGATGAAAATAAGGACGAGGAAGACTTATCCGATGTGAAGCTTCAATTGGAGCTCAGCGAACAAGAAACTTCGGTACTCAGGAAGAAACTAGAAGATACGGAAAGTGACAATGATAGACTGAAGAAGAAAACTAAGGAGTTGCAAGATAAATTAATAGCAAAGCCCACAGAGCGAAGGATTTTAAGCAAATTTGATAGGAATGGTACAAGTAACGAAAAAGTCAAGTCATTGGAGAACGAGATGAATGAGATACGTAAGAAGTTAATCGAGAAAGAACGGGATTGCGAACGACTAGAAGCAGAAATCAATCTGTCCAAGAAACGACCGAAAGACTTAAAATCTAAGTAAGTTTTTCAAAGATTTACGTAATCAAACAATTATTGTTAATTTTTTTTACAGATCACAGGATATAGATCAGCAAACAATTGATTTGAAGAGACAACTGCAAGTTATCGAACAGGAAGCTTCTGTATTCCGAAATAAAGCTCAAACTTTAGAAGTCGAAAACGAAAAGCTTATTGCGGACAACAAGCGTTTAGAATTATTAAGAGGGACCAAGAATCTAAAAGCTGACAAGGCTTTAGACATATACGTGGATAAGATAGCTACTTTAGAAGTTGACTTAGAAGCAGCAGTTAAGAAAATTAAGGATTTAGAAGAGAAGAGACCTATTAAGGCACCGAATGGAGATGTAGCTAGCTCCAAACAAATGAAGCTTATGGAAAAAGAACGTGATAAGCTACAGAATATTTTGAATAAACTCAAGGAGGGTAGTACGAAAACTTTAAAGAACCGAAAAGTTCATACACCAACTGATATTACCACTAAGGTTCAATTGAGAACTATGGTTAATGATTTAGAGAATGAAATAAGTAAGCACAATTGATATTTATTTTAATATATTTTTATTTATTTCCTATTATAGGTGCAATTTTATTAACACTTGAGAAAGTAGAAACCAACAAAGATAAATTAGAGGAAGAACTATCTAGGACACTAAAAGGAACCAAGGAAACAGTAAACAAAGAACTAGAAGATCTATCTAAGAAGCTTGAAACTTCTGAGAAGGAGCTAATAAAATCCAAAAACATGTTCGACGATTTGAACAGAAAATTATCGATCATCAATGAAGAGAGAGATTCTCTGAAACAAGAAACCTCAAAGATGAAGTCTGAACGTGACAAGATCTTATCAGATAAAAAGAAGACTGAAGAGGAATTGATATCCGAAACCTGTAAGTAATTATGAAATTTAAATATCGTCATGTAATGTGTTTGTTTTTTTTTTTTTTCACAGCTGCTTTTAAAGAATCAAAGAAAGAACTGGCTGAACTTAAAGATCTCGTGGAGCATTTGAAACGAGATACTGATAAGAAAGAAAACGAATTGCGAAAGCTGAGGGAAGAGATTGAGGAGAAAAATAAGTTGGTCAAAGAGGTAAGAGGTCAGAATGCTCCCACACTATCCCAGATAATGTATACGAAATTTCAGCTGACGCAAAAAACTAAAAAGATAACAGATTTGCAAACCCAGCTTAAAGAGATCGAAGAAGAAAACAAAAAGAGTGATAATTTTAATAAATTAAAAATTAAACAATTGGAACATTCTGTAAGTTTTCATTTATATTAATTTGTAGTTCTGTATTTTCAAAATTTATTAATTACAGCTCGACGAGGAAAAGCGAAAACTCAAAGATAAAGATTCCAAACATTTGGAGCTCTCTGCGGAATGGACAAACAAGCTCGAAACACTCTCTTCAGATTCTAAGAGTCTCACCTTCAAAATTGAACAACTTGAAACCACTATTGCATCCAAGAATCTCCTCATTGAGAGATTAGTAAGTTTTTTTGATATGGAAATTAAGATTAAATAACATTCCGTCTTTTTAAGGAAAAATCTTCGCAGGTGAAAGTATCCGAGACCAAAGAGCTAAAGAACATGCAAGATGAAATATCACAATTGAAATTACAATTAACTGATTATGAAAACAAATGTAAAATCGCGGAGAAGTCAGCCAAGTCAACTGAAGAAAAGTTAAAGAAGAACCAGAGCAACTTCCAAACTGAGAAATCAGCATTAGAGAAGAAATCCGCCGAGTTGGATATTGATTTACAGAATGAAAAGAAGAAGCTACAGGTTATAAAAACTACTCTAGAGAAGGAGCAGAAAAACCGTGATTTAGAATTGACGGCGTTAAAGAACAAAATTAAGAATGTAGAGATGAACTCAGGTGTTGGTAATAAGAAGATCACTGAGATCAGACAAGAATATCAAGACAAATTAGATAGTAAGTAAACTATTTAAAATATATCTCAATGACTATATTATGATTTATTACAGAATTGGAGAAGGAAATTAGCAAAGAAAGGAAAGAGTATGAAAATTTGACAGCTAAATACGAGGTTCTAGAAGAAGAACATGTTGTTACAAAAGCTAAGTTAGTAACTGAAAAGGAATCCCTTAGTAGTCAACTAATGTGTGTAAGAAGAGAATTGGAAAAAGTTGAAGAAGATTCTGAAATAGAAAAAGATGCATTAGTAATGAAATACGAAGCACTCATGAAAGTTAAGAATGAATTAGCAGAAAAGATTAGCAAGAATGGAAATGGAGATTTGGAGAAAGTTCGTCTAAAATCCTCATTGGAAGAGCGTCAATCTGAATTAGATCAATTGAAAAAAGAATACGAAGTTATTAATGATCAAATGGAATACATGAGGCGAGAAAACGAAGAACTTAGAAAAAAATTGGATGATTTCGATAAAGTACATAAAATTCAAAGAAATATTAGCGCTGATAGCTCTGCTATGGGTGTAGAAATTAGAGAGTTAAAAGCCAGGTAAGTTTCATTTTCATTTTACATAATCGTATTTATAATCATGTAAATTCCAGATTGGCAAGTGTCGAAAAATCCAAGAAAGGTGATTTAACGGAGTTGAAGATGCGATATGAAAGTCAAATCACTATCTTAAATGAAGAAATGCAATCTTTGCATACTCAAGTTTCAAGGTTTAAACGTGAAAGAGATACCTACAAGCATATGCTTGAGAGCGCTCAAAAGACCATTGGAGATCTGAAGATGAATCCTGCTAAAGCCAAGGAAAAAAGGAATTCTTTTGGTTACGATGAAGTAACAAATCTAAAATTATTTATTTTATATTTTTAATAATTTAATTAATTTGCACTTTCTAGGTGGAGGAACAAAAGTCTAAAATAGCAGGTTTGGAGCAACAAATAAGCTGCATGGAGGATGAGCTTTCTGAATCCAGATTGGAATCTTCAAAACTAAAAACTGAACTTGTCTCTGAACGTTCGTCGTGGGAAGTTAAAGTATCTGAGTTAAACTCAAGGGTTAATGAGTTAGAAGAGGAGAAGATTTTAAGCAGCGGCAGAACAAAGATTGCTGGTTTAAGAACGCGCATGGAGTTATCTTGGCAGAAGGAGCGAGAAGAACAGCAAAGATTACTACAAGAAACAGCAACGTTGGCGAGAGACTTACGGCAAACTTTGTTTGAAGTAGAGCGTGAAAGAGATAAAGAAGTTTTAGAAGCTAAACGGAAAATGGATCAAACTAAAAAGACTTTGGAGGAAGAACAAGATGAGAACAAAAAGAAGCTTACGGAACTGCAATGCGATTTTATGGAGTTACGAGATGCGCATGCAAAACTACGGACGACGAATGAAAAGCTTCGAAGAGAAAAGGAAAGGCACGAAAGGGAGAGGGAAGAAATGAAGTTTATGATTAATGGAAAGAAGAGGGTGGAGCAGGAGGATCTGAGGCGTGTCAATACTTTGGTTCAGCAGGTAGAAAACTTACTACAATTAGTGCCAGAGTTGTTAAGAGGCAAGGAGAAAGATCCTTCAACATATACACCAACCCCACCTAAGCGAACCAAGTCGAAGTCAAGAGAGAGTTCTCCTGGTATGGAGCGCAAGGATTACAGCAGAGAATCCTCAATAATTCGTGAAGATAAACGTACACAAGTGCAATCGACACTTGAACGTCTTGTTGATGCTACGGATGAACTGAAGCGTTTCCAAAGATTAAGCGAGGAGGATCGCGAAAGGGAGAGGATGAAGAGGCAGATGGGTATGAGACGAGCGACTTCAACTGAAAATGATAAGCTTTCTAATAACGGATCAACGCCGAGTAGGAAATTGGTGCGCAAGGATAGTAATTTACATAGGAAGAGTTTATCTCTTGAGCATACAGCTTCGATGCAAGACCACAATATTTGGAAAGGTGATAGCGATAGCATGTCGAGCATGCAATCATTAGATATGGGCTCGGATTTGGACTTCAGAAGGAAAAGAGATGTTAGTATGGATAGCAGGTTGTCAGGAGGATCGACTCAGAGCGAGGTTGCTGGTGGTGAGAAAAGGAAGAAGAAAGGTCTGATAGGGAAACTGAAGAAGTTGACTAAATCGAGGAGCATCGACGACCAGGACGGCGATCATTTTTCCCCGAGCAGACCGCTATCCTCTAAGCCGAGCTCCAGTATAGACATGGCGGAGGACTCGAAAAGCAGTAAAAAGGATTTGAAGGAACGTATTACGGGTATGTTCAGGAGGGCCGGGTCATCTTCACGTAGCAACAGGTAACCTGATCACCTCAGTAGAAATGATGTACTGATTGGTTTTAATCACTTAGCGTCGAAAGACACGACACGAGTTCGACGCAGAGACCGCTGATGAGAAACGGCAGCAACTCCAATCTTCAGTCTAAAGATTCCGTAAGGCGTCATTAGGTACTTGGACAAATCCTTGTTCTAAAAGGACTGTCTTTCATTTTGTTACAGAATTCGAAGAAGGGTTCTCGGAGTTGATTTTTAATAAAATTATAATTCTCGTTGGTACTTTTCAATGTTATATTATTTTACGTTATGTTTTTCGTTTCTCTCTACGTATGGATACATTTTTTTGCATTATGAAACTAGGATTAAAAGAAAAATATTCATTGCACGTATATTATTTTCCCGACATTAAATCCCATTAGTCAAGCTAACAAAAGCTGACATGTTTATGACAGGTATGACTGCCAGGTATAATGGCTTGTAATTATAGGTGCATTGTTTCAAAACGTTGTACAATATTTTTATACAATGGGGATGAATAGATTCCCTTTACGGACGCAAGTCCAAATAGCCTTCAAATACTAACAATGGATTCGATCTCGCCAGTTTCCATTAAATGTATAATAATGAAATTGATATTTTTCTTTCCTGCGTTGATGAACAGAATCAATTGAGATTGTTGTGATAAATAAAAATGATGACAATTGTATTTTTCATTGTGCAGTAAATTGGTCTTGGAAGAATCGCATGTCTCCTACAATTGATTACATTCATTTTTAAAAATCAAAATAATAACGTAACTTATAGATGCAGCAGACATCGAGTTCAATAACATAGCTCCGTCTCTTATATAAGGAGAAAATAAAACCAAGACACTCGCTCAATTGAAAGAGTAATTGGTTTATTGAATTATTATGAGCCAACAGGAAGTCACATAATAAACATAAGAGTGAGAAACTTGCTTTCATATTTGTAACTATACTATAGATAATTAATTGTCGAAAAAACTATTATATAAAGTTTTCTTAAAATATAATTCAGTTGCTGAATCACTGATAATTAAAATACCCATAAGTAGTAAATATATTTAAAACCTACAGAAGCTGGTATGGTTGCATAGGATGAACTACTGCAATCTTAATTATGAACTAATCAGCTACTTACTTCTACATAAATATATGGGTGAAGCTGACAAGTAACTCATTAGTTACTAATGTTGCTTTCAATACTGCTAATTTGATTGAAACAGTATTTTTTATACTATCATATTATGATGTCTAAATTTCTTCCATTGATACTTTTAACTATCCTTTTTCTGCTATAACGTCCATATTTCTTCCTCTGCCATTAATTTCTTAAGTACTGTTGATAGCTATGATTACCATGTTATGACATCTAAGAAATTGAAAATATCCTACAACAAATAAACAATTAGTATTGTTAAACATAATACGTATGATTTAGGAGCCGCATTTGCCCACAGTTGTTATATACTTAAAGCGACTATACATCTCGTTTTGAACGGAACCGTCTCGTTGTCCCCAATCATTACATTACAGCCGAACTACACTAAAATCAATAAATGAACTTCAACATCAAAGATTTGAACACAAATAGGGAATCTCGTAAATTAGATACATTAGCGTATCTAATTTAAATCTAACCAATATCATCACCAAACAAGATAGATATTGATTGGCTTATTATAGAAATAGTTTATTATTCATAAGTGCAAAGTTTGAAATAGTCATACTTGTTAGTAACGTTGCCTATAACAAATGTTGAAAATCGTATATTTACAGCGATCAATAATTTGAACTAGTATTATGCAATGTATTTACTGGTAGAAGTGTTGCCTACATTAAAATACGTTTCCTAATTTTATAGGATTAATTGTGTGATTGTAGTAAATTATTACTATTTTGATGTAACTAATGAGTGTATTAGCTATAAATTATTGAGAAAAATAATATATATGATATAATACAATAGTCCTTGTATAAGTAACATTATTAATTTAAAACCAATTCAACTAATAACTATTGTATATGATTTTGCCTATATTGAAAAGCAATGAGCGACAAAAATATAAAATATGTACAGTAATGTTGTTTTAAATTAAATATGCAATTAATTTTACTTTAAATAAACTACAATTAAAATTCACAAATTATTTACAGCTACTAAAAATATGACGGAATTGTATATTTGTTTAATTTATATGTTAACTAAAGAACTAAACAATGACAAACGATACTGTTTAGGTTATTTGACAACTATTATTTTTATCAGGTGAAACTAAAGAACAGAATCATAACAATCCCGAATAAATAAGCAATGCTTTGAATTTCAAGATAAATTTCAGATCTTTGTGTAAACAATATCATAATGTTTCTTCAAAAAAAAAATATGTTGTTATAACTTTTAGTATTTAGATTAATTTTTCTCTTGCTTTTGGCGAGACGTATAAAGACGCAGAAAGACCTATGGTCAATAGCCCTTAGCAGCAGTTGAATTTTGTTTTATTTTTGTTATTGTATTAAGTTTTATTTTTTGTAATTTATTGTTGCAATAAATATGATTATTTATTTATGTTATATGCAAAGGAAAACGATTTATAAGTGACTACAATGATATTATAAACATTTTTATTAGGAAATTGTGCCTAATAAAAATGTTTATAATTATCCGGTTCCGGTTTTGTTTCCGTTCTTTAGGATTCGTCCCTAATACGCGGCTGTCACGATTAACCGGAATTAAGCGGAATCTACTGTTTAGTCTTAAAAATTATTTTATATGTTATATTTATATTGTAAAATCTGTTCCTCCATTCATTTTTTATAAAATATTGGACTGTTAAATATTTATAGATATTAAATTGAATTACATAAAGTTTTGGGTTGTTTTACATGAATCGTTGATATGCAAATTTATTCATTTTATACAGGCATTTTCAATAATCACTTTTATGAGAACAATCATCGCCATGCTAAGTCTCCAAAGGTACATAACGATATGCAATTGAAGATTTTGAAGAGTGGAATTTCAACTTCAAAGAAGTGCTTTATCCTTGAGCTACTTTATAAATCAATTAATATATCCAGTTAATTATATATTAGGAAATTATTGATATTGATAGAAAACATTTATATAACACAATTATATTTTTAAATACTGGAATTCCACCACTGCAAAATAGTAAACATCATATATCCAATGTTTACAGATTTAATTTTAGAATAGATTCAGTGTTTGTCACGATATAAAAGCTTATAATTTTATCACGCTATTTTGAGAAACGCTGCAATACTAACACTTCGAAGTAAATTTTAGTTTTTAGTTTTCTTTAGTTTTAGTAAATGAAATAAGATTATCTATTTCATATAAAATGTTGGTAGCCCTTTGCAGCTGATCAATTTGTGTTTATTTTCTTACTATGTTATTTTGTTGAATATACTACACATTCAACAAAATTTTTTGCAATAATTTTTATTATTATTATTATTAGAAAATAAGTATAAAATTAATATTAATTACAAAATTTTGTTAAATACTTATTTTTATGATAATAAATTTGTCGGAATGTTTACATTTCGAAACGTTTGTAAGAGAGAAAATTTAATCTCAAAATATGTCCAGTCAACAAATTTTGTTTATTTTCTCCTCACTTGCTGTTATTTCCTCTGCCTCAGACTATTCATTATACAACAAACAAAAAGTTGCGGAGTGATAAAAATTCTATTACTCGATTGTTATTTTAAGATACGCTCGAATAGAATGAGTAATTATCGAAAACATACTTTGCATTCATTTAGTGGCCAACTTCAAATCTTTGTATATTAGTTTATTAAAAACAATGGATATTTTCTTATACGAAATTTGACTTAACTGCATTTAATTAAATCAATTTACACTGAGTGATATTCATAAATTATTGAATTTTCTTTGTGAAAAAGTGTAGGATAGAAGTTGTATTGAGGATCGTTGAAGCACAGCGAGCGATGAAAGCGTGTTCTTCGTCGAAATGGATTTCTTGCTGCGGAATGTAGCGAAAGGCAAATGCAATAATGAATTTCGAAACGTTTTCAAGGGGCGCGAAAAAGTGGGGCTTTCATTAGGGATAATAATCGGGACGCGCATCAAAAGTGGCCCTTATATAATACATGCACACATAGCTGTATGTGTTATATATGTATGTGTATGTGTATGTATATGTATATATATATAAAGGTTGCCACCCTTTGGCATCCGGCGGGTAATTTTATAATAAATTTATACGTTGTATGTAGATGGGAGATGAAACATAAAAGCACTCGCGCGCATAATTCAATCAATTTGCTAAAAAGCTCGCAAAACTGAAAAGTTATTAGGGCCACCAGAGAGAGGGATAGATGGTGTGGGAGGGTGTGGAGGAGGCAGCACCGCCACCACCTCTGCCGTCCCCGTCGTCCCCGCCGTACCGCCAACACGGCGACACGGGGATTGAATTTTAAAATTCTATTAGATTCTCCACTTATTTGCACCTTCTATGATGCGGGGAGCGGCTTAGACCACGCGCCACCCCCACGGGTTTTCCCCGTGAACAAGCGCCGGGAAAATGGCAGATTTTCAATCCTCGGTCCTGAACAAAACAAATCTGACATTCTAAATTGCACGAATTGCCTGCCTGACTGACTGACAGACAGTTATGCCAGTTTAACCGAATTACCTCACTTGTTAACTCCAATCAAAATGCAACCGACGTTCACCCAACAATTATCCGAAAATGCAGTTTCCGCATTATTTGTACCACATATATTTTATTATGTAAGCCAAAAATTGACAAATATTTTTATATTCATCCATTTATTTAATAACTTCATAATATATTCAATGTTTAAGTTACAATCCATTTTTCTTAGTCATAATTATAAAATGTATTTTTTTTTAATTATAAATGTATAAAACATTTAATAGCAACCGCATCAGTCCGAGTTCACTATTTCAAACCGGACTAGTTTGAAATAAAAAAATATATGCTTGTAATAGAATATTTCCCTACTTTTAAAAAAAGTTAACAGATGTCAAATCCAAGAAAAACCAATCATGTAACCTTCTGTAAAAATATTGAATCGGACATACAGTAGACTCCTGTACAACGCAAATTCTTACAAAGCGGTAATGCGTTTTTATAACGCGATTTCATATAACGCGTAACGTATTCATGAGTTTACTGTGCTTTTTTTTATTATTTATTTATATACAATTTTTACAATATTTTTTATAAATTTTTATTATAATTTCCTTATGTGTATGCTTCAATTACTCATTTCCGAATTTAATATATGGAAACAAAAATCAAATTTATTTAGAAGTATATTAAAAAAAAGTATTAAATTATATTTGTTTTATTAATATAAATTTGGTTTAGTTATCGAAATTTTATTTATTTTTTTTAATAAAATACAGTAATTATGATGTTATTATATTTATGAGTGTATTTGAAAGTGTTCTTGTAATTTATGATGTCTTGTTAAGTTGTAGCCATAACAGTGGGATATATAAACATCCCAGCTTGTGTAATAACAGCTTGTGCGAAGGTTTGGCACACTTTAAAAATGACCCATCATTTGCTTCGGTGTTTCCCGTAATCCTGTTAGTAGTCCGTGGAAGGGATTAGATTAAGTGTGTATTTATTTATTTACTTTTACAGTTGGGGTTTATTCTTTTCTTTTCTTTCCTTTTCATTTTATTTTCTTCTTCACTTGAATGACTCGATGATTGTGGAATCACGACTGTTTTGGTTGGTCTTTCCTAAAGGGATGAAAAGGCCCCATTGTTGGTTCGCTTTCGCGCCCGACGTATTTGCGGTGATTAGGAGACATTAGGACCAGCGAACGGAACAAACGTTTAAACCCCTTTGTGTTTGACCAATCGAGGGGGGGTATGTCAACAGTATTGTCAAGCATCCTCTCGAAAGTGGCAGCAGTTGAAAGGACGAGAATCCTTTCTGCCCGTGCCCTCTTTTAATAATCATGCCGCATACTCTATTCTGTACGTAGTTTATGTGTGTATGCATGTATGTATTTTTGAAGCGTGTTAAAAGCTGCCCTGTTAAACAGCGATAAATGCATTATTTCTGTTGTAACTTAGTTAGGGCGTTGGGTTTGGTCCTCACCCTTTCCCCCCAATCGTACGGCCGGTCTGTTGTTTCGATAAACCAATTACACGTGTAACCCTTTATAGGACAAACATCCAACCACCATCCTACTATGCAATGACACTCTCAAATTTCATACCCATATGACCACATTTTTCGATCCTATATCCTCCCATTCATATATAACCCGCAAAAATAATATAGATTATATTCATTCAATTCATTCAATAACGAAGCAAGGCACTTTTTTTATACAGAATAGAGAAATAAAAATCACAACTTGCGCTTCAGCATTACTTTGAAACCGCAGAATATAAGAATAGGACAAATTTGCAATCTTTAATAAATTAAATTATTTCAACTGTGTTGTGAAAGAGACCGTTCGTAGAAATTATTTTAATTATAACAATAGGAGGAATGAAAATAATTTTTAATCTTTCATTAATGAAAGTGGAATTATCTAATGAATTATCCGTTTCGTTAACTGAGATTATA